CAGTGGGGCTGCCAGTGCTGGGTGATACAGCTGCTGGCTGTTTGGTGCTAGCCAAACCAGAGGGAGTATATTTCAATATGAGCTCTCAACTGCCCCCCCTCCCCCGAAAAAAAATAATCAGGAAGGTTCAACTGCCCTGTCCACGAAAGAACGTATCCTTGTTGTGCGCGATGCGTTCAATGAGACGGCTCGTGTTCGCAGGGCTGGACTGCGACATTGACATCCAGAAGTGCATCCAGATGGTGAGAGAGCAGCGGTCGGGGATGGTGCAGACCGAGGCACAGTACAAGTTCATCTACCTGGCTGTGTCCCAGTACATCGAGACCACCAAGAAGAAACTCGAGGCCTTGGGGGTAAGAGAGAGCTCGTGCAGGGCGAACTGTGACGGACTGCACCGAGGAGGGGTGACTACTGCAGATTATTGTTTCTGTCAAAATCAACTTTATGTCAAAGAGAACATCTCACATTCCAATATATTATACATTATATGATATGATATGAAAATATATATCACATTATACATTCCAACAGAATGTCAAACTAACATGAAAGAAAAACTTTCCACATCAGGTGACTGTCCATTATCAGTCAGTGCAAGCAGATGTCACAGCAGCAGATACAGCAAGTGCTGTACTGAAAAATATGGAGGAATTCGGGGAGGAGAATGAAAGGAGTGATAAATGATGTTGTCACGCACAGACTTTCTTCCTGCTGAATGACATTTTCACATCTGGGGTGTTACACTGACCTCTGCTGGACCAAATGAGAAATCATTTTCAGTAGTACTTTTTTCGTGATCGACATCTCGCCAGGAAGTCACCTAGTTTACACCCCTCCCTGTGACAGTCCTCCTTCACTGCTTTGCTAAACGTCAGGAAAGGGAACCACCTACAACCCCCTCAGTAAAGAGCTTTGGGATGAAAAGACTTGTGGGAGTTGTAGTTTTAATTTTTAACAGCAGGACAGTACCAGATAGCGGACATATTCATCCTGCACCCCCTAGATCTGAGAAATGTAACAGGAAGTGGCGAAGGTGGGTTCCCGAGTTTCAAATTTTTTTTAAATACAGAAGTGCCCACTCTTTTAGTGAGTCGGGCGTAGTGTAGAAGAGGGATCTGTTCTAGAAACCAAAGCTGAAAGTACTGATGTGTCGCTTAGTGTGTATTTGGCTCTACAGATGTACCTATTCTGGGACATCACACTATGCCTGGGGCAATCAGTACAGAGTATGCACCTCCAATCCTTAACAAGTGTCAAATGTTCTTGACATAAACACTGATAAAGAACACAAGGCAGAAAGAGAGGAGTCTATTTGGCCTGTCTGGTAGTTAGGAACTAACTGATCCTAGCATATCATCCAGGTGTTTCTTGTAGGAAGCCAGGGGTCTTGGCTGTGCCTTAAGAGCAGTGATTGTGCTTGTTTTTATTCATTCTCTCTTCTCGTTTTTTTTTTTTCTCCTGTTTTGCAGTCCGCCGAAATGGAATACGGCAACCTCTCCTTCCCAAACAAGCACACGAAGGCCAGCCGCAAAGTGTCCAAGTGAGAAGACTACATTTCCCATGAACCTGCACCCTGGCGGTGCCTGTCCCAGGCCTGTCCCAGGCTGTGCTGCTGCCTGCTGCCCTGACTCCCTGCCTTTGTAGTTGCAGTCCTAGCCAATAAGAAGAGTCTGCTATTGGCGAAAACACACTGGCTGTTGCTCTTAATATATATTATATGACAATGATGGCAGAAGAGGGAGAAAGAACACCCTGGGGAATTGCAGGGAAAATCATTTTAAACTATAATATTCTCAGCAGCAGCATGGTGGCACAGTGGTTATCATTGCTGCCTCACAGCTCTGAGGCCCTGGGTTCAGTTCCTGGGGTGCTGTCTGGGTGGAGTTTGCATGGTCTCCCGTGTTTGTCTGGGTTTCCTCTGGGGGCTCTGGTTTTCTCCCACAGTCCAAACACATACTGGATGGTTAATTAATTAATTGCCAGCAGCCATATCACCCTGCAGCTCACAACTGGCACTGGAGCTCAGCAAACGTGAGCCTGGCCAGTACCTGGGTGGGAGACCTCCTGGGAGAGGAGTTAGAGGGGCCAGTAGGGGGCGCTCGCCCTGTGGTCCATGTGGGTCCTAATGCCCCAGTATAGTGACTGGGACACTTTACTCTAAACAGGCGCCGTCCTTCGGATGAGACATAAAACTGAGGCCCTGACTCTCTGTGGTCATTAAAAATCCCAGGGTGTTTCTCAAAAAGAGTAGGGGTGTTACCCCAGTGTCCTGGCCAAATTTCCCCCTGGCCTTTACCAATCATGGCCTCCTAATAACCCCCATCTCTGAACTGGCTTCATCACTCTGCTCTCCTCCCCACTGAGAGCTGGTGTGTGGGGAGAGGACTGGAGCATCATCCAGGTGGGGCTGCACACTGGTGGGGGTGGAGGGGATCCCCATTACCCGTAAAGGGCCTTGAGTGGAGTGTCCAGATGCCCACACTGATGACAATGATGTTATTATTATCAGTGAAATTCCTAATAATTATTCATTCCAGGAATAAAGAGGAGGTGTATGAGAACCTTGGAGGGAAGGGGAAGAAAGACGTGAAGAAACAGAAATCGGAAGAGAAGAAGAGTGGCTCCGTGCGCAAGAGATAAGAGGAAGAGGCGAGAGAGAGAGGTGAGGCACACAACGACAGAGGGAAATAAACTACAGTTCCCACAGTGCACTCGTTTCCTCCCACACTTCCTGTATTTTACAGGACTATGCTTTTTTTTATAAGCGTGGAGGTCTGAAATGTTATCGAATTAAAAAAAGAAAGGAATTTGGCTCAGCACAACAAACTGCTACGCCCATAATGCTCAGCTGGCAGGGAAACCGGTGAGGTCAAAAGCCAAGTGGGGGGAGGCATCGTAGGAGCTGTCTTTGAATTTTCTTCAAAAGGAGCAAAGCAGACACCCACTGTGGAGCTACATTCCACAATGCTCTCAGGTGGCAACGTTTTCTGTCAGCACAGGGAGGGAACAGCATTATGGGATATGTGTGTATCACTTCCAAGTACAAAAGCTCCCCTTTCTGGCAGAACATCATCTGTGTCTGTTTTTTTCAAGATAAGATCACTTTATCGGCCATATACAGTTTCTTGAATTCGGAATTTGTCTTTTCACAGACCCCAATTTGCTCTCCTTAAAGACACACAGACAGGGAGAGAAGCCTGGGTCAGAGCGCAGGGTCAGCCATTGTACAGCACCCCTGGAGCAGCTGGGGGTTCAGGGCCTTGCTCAGGGGCCCAACAGAGTAGGATTCCTCTGCCGGCCGCGGGGTTTGAACCGGCAACCTTCCAGCCACAGGCGCAGATCCTGAGCCACAGAGCCACCGCTCCGCCCTTAAGCTTTTGTTCTGTCTCTTCCAGGACGTCTAGGAAGGATCCCAGAAGCAGGAACGGGAAGAAAGTGGAGGAATGACGTTTCTTCGTAGTGTTAAGGAACAGCCGCATCGGATTTCCATTACGAATGCTTGTGAACAGTGTACTGCGGGTTAGCCGCCTGTAGTTTCCCATGAAAGGGCTCTAGGAAAACAGCAGCCCTTTTTGTCCTGTAGTAACCTGAGAACAGTATATAAATATCATTGGTAAATGATCTTGTAAAGGCTTCCTAGCATTTTTTGAGTTAATTCTGCCAAAGCGAGAGGGCTCTTTAAAAGACTGTATTTTGGTTACATTACAGCCTCTCCCTTATTTTCTGTTTCTCATTTGGCCTCCATTATGTAATAGCTAGTGTTTTTTAAAAAATGTTACAAGAGTTGAATTTGAAAGATGTACCATTGCCATCTTTCACTGTGTAGTCTCAAGAGACACACAGCACTAGAGGAGCTGATCATGGATAAAGAGAGGAGAGGCCTGAGAAATCAAGGGGATAGGAGATCACAGAGTAATAGGTGAACGCAACTGGATAGGAGACACAGTTCGAGCGAGGAGATCACAGAGAGCCCATCTGTAAACGACACGCAACAGAACAGGAGACACAATGAGAGGAGATGACAGAGAAGCCCGCAGTAAAAGACACATCATAAGACAGGAGACACAGTGAAAGAGAGAGGAGATCACAGAGAATCCTTCAGTAACAAACACTCTGAACAGGACAGGAGACCCAGGGTGAGGAGATTGCGGCTGATGGCACAGGACACGTTCACATTTAAACACCTTTTTGCTGTTTGTAGTTCGAATTAACTTTTGGAATACATACCTTTTTGTTAATAAAGAAAAGTGCTTATTTAACGGGATGCATGCCTCTGCTCAGTAGAATGTGTGTGCGTCGCGTAAGAGCTCTGTTTGGAAATGTCTGGGCTTGGACGTGGCTGCTGTTTGAGTCACTGTGGAGCAAAGTCTCTCCCTGCTAGTGTTGGAGCAAAGAAGACATCTTCCGAGTAAGTTGTGTGGGACGCCCAGCTCCTAGACGACCTCTTTAAATATTGGGAGCCCTCTTCATAGGACACTGAAAGCCAGGATTCCAGGACTGACCACCAGGAGTCACTAGAGTGTGTTGCACAGGGATGTGGGGAACCTGCACATCAGACTACAGTGTAGGAAAATTGCACTGTAAAACTTTGCTAAGGGAATAGAAAAGCAGGATATGCAATTAGCTGCTGTCTCCAATGGAGGGGAGAGCTGGAGCCTATCCCAGCAAGCAATGGGTACAAGCTGGGATAAACCCAGCACAGGACACCAGTCCATCACAGGACACACACACACAGACGCAAACAATTGAACTTGAACTTTATTGCCATATGTAACCGGCACTGTTACAATGGAATTCTTATTTATAGAAAGTCTCTCGATTGTAAAACAAGTGTAAAAAACAAGACAAAGTGCAAACAGTGCATCAAGACAATGTACAAACAAACAATAGACAATGTGCAAGTAAACATGTAGACAGTTTGAATGTAAACAATACAGACGTGTAAACAATGACTGGAGATGTGCAATAGATAAGAAATCATAAAGAGGTAGATGGTGATGGTGTAGGTGTGGTCCGAGGGGGATGGCTAAATGTGTTCGCCAGTCTCACTGCTTGTGGATAGAAGCTATTGAAGAACCTCACACTGGCTCACAGCAGGGCTAAGTTTTGAAGAAGCCAATCAACCTCCCAGAATGTCATTGGACTGTGGGAGTAAACAGGAGCACCATGTGAAGACGGGGAGAACATGCAAACTCCACACAGACAGCCTCTGGGGAATTGAACCCCGGGTCCCCAGCACTGCCAGCCACTGGCTGAAATTCTTTGCACAATCCCTGATGTGAATCGATACACGTCGAGTCGCAGACCTTTCTTGGAAGGTTAAAGCAGAGCAACACAGCATTGCTAAGCATTGCATTCATGGTTCTCTTCTTTGAGCGAATCGGGACAGAAAACGCTTAAAAGAACGTGCGTAAACCATAAGGAAAAAATATATAATCTCTGGCATATGAAGTGGAAATCTAATAAGTAAATTGATTCTTAAAATGTAGAGAGCTTTGCAAAAAATATATTGGCGCTTTAGATAATATATTTCAAGGATGTAATTGCTGTGCTACAGTACGTCCAGAATTTTAGAAAACTGCGTCAACAAAGTATACTGTTTAGGTTACTTTAGAAGACAATGTACCAAAACAATATATGCTGTCTGGGTCGTTAGAATTAGCTGAAAGTAACTGATAAGCTTTGAATAACAAATCTAGTGCTTCTTCTCTCGCTCTATGATGTAATCTGTTTTGTCTTCGGGAAAGGGGAAGTTTTAGAAGGGACAAAGCGCTGAGCATTTTTACAGCGCAACGTCTTATAAAAACCCTTACTGCTTGTAACAAATTGAGTCTCTGGTTGCACTGTGCGAAGTGGCAGCAGGGCTCCCAATATTGCAATATTGAAATAAAGCCCTTACTCAGGTGAAAACTCTCTCTTGTGGCTTCCTTGCTAGTTAAATTTCCTCGACACATATCTGGGAAGCTTTTTTAAAATGGTTTTTCAAACGCAAAAGTGCTCTAATCCTTCAACCCGCCCCCAAACTCTCCCACCCCCCACTGTCGTTTCTGTGATTCAGCCTGAGATGAATGAGGGCTGCTAGCCGAGCAGTTGAGTGACCCCGACTGTGAGGAGAGAGAGAGAGACGGGACAGAACGAGTGAGCAAAAACGCGGTCACGGAGAGGGGGATGAACTCTCTCCCCTTTCCCCTCCCCCGTGAAAATGGAGATAAAAGACTTGGTTCAAGAACTGAAAAGGAGGCGAGCGTAGCAGAGAGAGAGAGAGAGGGGAAAGTTGCTGTGGTTCCGCAGATACAGGGAGAAAAAAAGCCCTCCTCCATGAAACACAGAAACAGGACGGGGAGGAGAGGTTCAACGAAGGGCAGGCGCACGCACTGAAAAGGAGAGAGTGTGCGCAAAGTTCAGGGGCTTTGTCTGTCGAAGAAACAGAGACGGAAAAGGGATCACGCAGGAGCAGGGAGGGGGAGAGATCAGCGAAATTCGCGTGAACAAAAAAAAAAAGAACAGAACCCGGCCAGAGGTGGATATTCGTGGTCCTGCACAGGCACGTCTTTTTAAGCAGCTACTGGGACAAAAGAAAAGGAGCCTGACGGTGAGAGAGAGAGAGAGAGAGCCAGCGACGGTAGGAGAAAGAGAAAAAAATTCCCATTCCAGTGCGGGAGACAAGTTCTGTTTCCAGTTCTGTCCCAGGTGATTGGAGCACGGACGCCGAACTACGGTCTCGGGAGAAGGAGGGGTTGACGCACGGGAGCAGAGAGGCACAGCGCCCGCACCTACAGGTCCGAGACGAGCACGATGCCACCCAATCTGACCGGAGTTTACCAGCTGGTGTCGCAGGAGAACATGGACGAGTATCTGCAAGCGCTGGGTAAGACACTCCGCTTTAGTAACCAGCGAGCACAGCGAGACATACCTGCACAGGCTTCTGCTGAAGTTAGTAATTTGATTAACCCGCTCTCTTGCCTGCGATGTATTGAGTTTGGATGAATTCAGGTTTTCAGACCTGTTACCTGTGAAGCGCTTTGAGTGCAGTGTCCATAAGCGCTATATAAGTGTAAGGAATTATTATTATAGTATTATCTCTTTCTCTCAGTGTGGTGTGGAGCTCATGTACTGTCTCCGAGTGCAGTGTTCTCCCCCACTCTGTGTGATGTCAGTGTACTGCACTGTGTCCGGTCAGTAGTCTTATCTCTGTTCCAGGATGTACTGGGGGGGTTGGTGTGTGTCTGTGGGTTTTCATTCCAAATCTGCTCTTAATGAGCTGGACCAGCTGGCTGTTGTGGAAGAATTCAACAGCTTCTCCCAGCTCCAGTGCTGCTGCTTTAAAGAGACCTGGACAGCCCTGCTGCACACATACTGACCACTCCAGGACCAGGACTGGACAGCCCTGCTGCAGACACACACACTGACCCCTCCAAGACAGGGACTGGACAGCCTTGAACTCGCTCCCTCTCTGATTGGTGGAGTGGGTCTGAGAGTGTCTCCTCTCCCCTTTCTGCGTTAGATATTAACTTTGCTCTTCGGAAGATCGTGTGCCTGCTGCGTCCGGACAAGGACATCGTCCAAGAGGGAGACCACATGGTCATCCGTACCCTCACCACCTTTCGGAACTTCATCATGGACTTCACACTGGGCCAGGAGTTCACCGAGGACCTGGGGCCTGTGGACGGCAGGGTCTGTCAGGTCAGGGCCTGCAGCTAACTGAACAGGGTGACCACTGGGTGTGTGGGTGTATGAGCATACTGACCGCCTGGACATTCACACTGCAGTGTGCGAGAAAGAGAGAGAGAGGAATCTGTAATAAAAACATACTGACCGGTCATCTTCTCTTCTGACATAGTAGTGTTAGAAGGGTCAGTACATGCACACCGACTGACCGATCATCTCCTCTTATTACATAGCAGTGTAAGAAGGGTCAGTACAGCTGCACTGACTGAGCGGTCATCTCCTCTTCTCACATAGCAGTATTAGAGGGGTCAGTACAGTTGCACTGTCCAGAGAGTACAGACACTCAGACTTTGTTATGTTGTTGGTGTCTTAAGAACTAGAGTGGTTAATGATCTGTTTACTGGCCAGTCAATCATTCACTGCATTAGTCCGCAAGCTGGTCAAAAGGACATCATGATCTTGTACACGGGGAGAGGCTGAGGAGGGGGCGTTCTCAGAGATGTATTGTGTCACATCTTGTCAGTATAGGATCTGCAAACCTTATGTAGGCAGACGTTTCCATTTTGTTCAGTGAATGTGGTGTCACGTAACCCAGTTCTTCATTTCTAAATGCTGGTTGCACAGACAATGAATAAAGGGGGTCTGTCCTGAAAAAAAAAAGATTAAATCTGATGTTGCCGAATGTCATTTCGTGAGTTTGTAAATCACATCATAACATTGCACTCAAACATCTTGGCACTGCTTCATAGTGAATTGCTGCGGAGAGCCCCTCTTGCTGAATGGTTAGTGTGTGGCCAAGAAGGTGCTTTGTATGGATGCCTTTAGAGGTGCATTATGGGAAAAGTAGTTTTATTTGGTTATTCTATTGTACCTAGCTTTCTCATTTGAGTGCATGCACTACAGCCTCCAGAGCTCCCTGGGACACGAAACCAAACTTCTGCGCACTACGGGAAGTGTAGTTCTCCTCAAGGTTCCTCCTGATCATGCCTGGCAGCAAACTGGTCTTTCTCTCCCCCCCCCCTCGCCCCCCCCAATAGACGACTGTGCAGTGGGAGGGAGACAGACTGGTGTGTGTTCAGAAGGGAGAGAAGGAGAACAGAGGCTGGACCCACTGGCAGGAGGGAGACCTGTTGCATCTGGTGAGTGTGCTGTTCAATACTATTCCACATATTTCATTTTAAGTAGAAAGCGGTACAACATACAACCCATAACAAATAAAACAACACATATACAGGTATTTATTATGAAACAATGTGTAATATTTAAGAAGGTATTGAAGTGCATGCACATTTGTAGAGGTGGATCTATGCAATAGACGTCATATCAATAAGATGTCTTTACTGCCATTGTTTGAAAGCGTGATGGCCTCTGGAATGAGGCTACGTTTCCTTTTATTTGTCTTGCACTGTGGACAGCGAATATGTCTTCTTAAAGGCAAAACGCCAGCAGCCATATCACCCTGCAGCTCCCAGCTGGCAGCCCCACTGGAGCTCAGCAGGTGTGAGGCTGGTCAGTACCTGGATGGGAGACTCCTGGGAAAGCTAAGGCTGCTGCTGGAAGAGGTGTCAGTGGGTGCCAGTAGGGGACGCACACCCTGTGATCTGTGTGGGTCCTAATGCCCCAGTATAGTGACGGGGACACTATACCGTAAAAAGGTGCCGTCCTTCGGATGAGATGTTAAACCGAGGTCCTGACTCTCTGTGGTAATTATAAAATCCCAGGGCGTTTCTAGAAATGGGTAGGGGTGTAACCCCAGTGTCCTGGCCAAATTTCTCATTGGCCCTTACCAATCATGGCCTCCTAATAATCCCCATCTCTGAACTGGCTTCATCACTCTGCTCTCCTCCCCACTGAGAGCTGGTGTGTGGGGAGAGGACTGGAGCATCATCCAGGTGGGGCTGCACACTGGTGGTGGTGGAGGGGATCCCCATTACCTGTAAAGCGCTTTGAGTGGAGTGACCAGAAAATATATATAATTAATTTATTAAAAGTTCAAAAGCCGGATGAAGGATATGGGTCTTCACTGATGGTACAGATTGTCCTCAGGGTCTGCTGGGGTCTTACAGACTCGCCAATGACTTGAGAGTTGAGGTTTCCAACATCTTGAAGGCAGTTTTTGTCTTATTGCCTGAGTGAAGTGAACCAGTTCAAATACTTTTCGATGAAAGAGCTGTACAGTGTTGATGGAATTCTCTTTTGATCCTCAAGAGGAACTCGGCTTTCTCAAACCATAGAAGCACTGCTGGAATTTCTTCACAATGTTTTGATCTTCGTCGACCTTCGTCTGCCTCTCTCCACAGGAGATGCGAGTACAGGGAGTGGTTGCTAAGCAAGTCTTCAAGAAAGTCAAATAACAGCCGGACCTCTGCGGCACCGAGTTCTGGTACAGCCAGATCCAATCCAAGGTAGTCTAGTGATATTACAGAAAGGATTAACTGTTCCTGTAGTTCTATGTAATCAGTTGTTATAATGCAAAAAGCACTGATGTCTCTGTTAATTCAGTAGTCTAACATTAGTGATTTTTACAATACATCTGTCTCTTTTACTTTTTTTGTTGTCAAAGGGACTTATTGTATAATTAACGATGCTAGGGTTTTATCATTTTAAATGATAAGATGTTTTAATAATACATTTCATTCATTTTGGTCCAGGCACTCCGGGAGCCTGCTGTAGTACCCACCTTTAGCCACAAGATGGAGACATAATAAAAATGAATATGGATCCTGGATTTGTGACGGTGTGCTTCATGAGCGCAGGCGCCTTTTGCGCGGTACGGCCGTGATGTCTTCTTGCATTAGTGCGTCTCAAAATATCCGCCGCAGAAAATAAATGGAGTAAACATGCTTCTGTTTATAAAATAGTATTGTAAAGGTGGCCAGTCTAATTGTAGAGGGCAGCTGTGCACAAAGATCACTTTCAATTTATTCCAATGTGGAAATTGAGTTTCTCAATTTAGAAAGTTACGTAGGTCAATTACTAAATAAGTCAGGAACGGCAGGAGTAGACACAAGAGTTTCAGAAGCGGGAGTTTTCATTAAACTAAAAGGGAAGCTTAGAATAGGTGCTTTCAAACCACAAAGCAGGAGGCACTTGTCATGCTGCTAAGATTTTGCAGGAATTCCTTATTGCAGATAAGTGCAGGTTGGTGCATGCAGGTACCAAAAACATGAACTCCAGATATAAAATGGGAAATATTGAGCTTGTAGAGGTTACCAAGGAAAAATACTCCAGTGTTTGTGTTGCGAGTGACACAGTGGCACAGTGGTCAGCTTTGCTGCCTTGCAATGCTGGGTTCAGTTACTGGGGGTGCTGTCTGTGGGGAGTTTGCATGTTCTCCCCAGGGTAGTGTGGGTTTTCTGCAGGAGCTCCGGTTTACCTTCCACAATCCAGAGACATGCTGAGGGGTTAATTGGCTTCTGGGAAAACTGGTGTGTGGGTTAGTGTCTGTGTGTGCCCTGTGACGGACTGGCGTCCTGCCCAGGGCGTATCCGGCTTTGTGCCAGTGGCTTGCTGGGATAGGGTGGGCTCTGGCTCCCCTGTGACCCTGTATTGGAAAAAGCAGGTTGTGCAGCAGACATTTCATTTCACTGCAGAAATGTTCCAGCGTGATCTGCATGCAGAGTTAACAAGTAAGTGGTATTTGTCAGAAAGATCCTCTTGAAGTGGAGAGCAATATTTCTATTGGATTATAAGAGATGTTTTCACCAGCCTGCTTATTTACAGTGTAATAGTGACATATCACCTCACCGGAAGCTTTGTTGCCTCGTTCTGAATTAGAGAACATGGCACTCCGCCAATTTTGTCTGCTTTACAGGTTTTACAAGTTACTTTTTACTGAATTGTGGTTTGAAATGCACTCTTCGATGCAGATTCTTTCTCACCCTGAAATATAAAACTACCAATGAAGTTCCCCTTTGAATGGATAAATCTGTATCTGCATTCTGAGGGGAGTAACTGGAATTAATTTAACAAAGGGTCTAAAGGGTCTTCTAGAATGGACCAAGCTTTATGGAAGAATCATAATTGATAGATGTAAGATATAGCTGAAAACATCAGCACCAGTGACTTTCTAACATACAGTAGTTTCACAAGACTCCCCAGTCTGTTCTTAGTCTTCAGATTCAAATTCCCAAACCAGCCAATCAGGGTCATAAAGCAGAGTTAAGAAAAGATAATCAGCAATAAAATATCAACCTTAAAATGTTCTCGCTTCCTTAAAAATAGACATCATTTATTTTTCCCATTGTATTGAAGGGGTGTCGATATCAAAAAGTCTAAAAATAGCAAGAATGCAGAACTGGCCTGGGATGTCTGTGAATCTCGCAGAGAAAACAGCCCAGGTTCCTCCATAAAGGTGGTCAGCAGCGTTCACTCACATGGGGATGTGAAACGTGGAGAGCCAACACAGAAATGATACAGAAAGAGCTGAAACGAATGGGTCTGGGCTGGTGCTTTCGACAGGGGATTGTGGTATCTGGGGAGGCGGCAGAAGAAATGCTCCAGGGTGTCCCCAGAAACACAGGCGCCTTCCCCCACAAATCAGGGACCAGTTCTGGCTGGGTCTGTGTGACTGGGCCCAGTTGCTGACCAGTTGTCTTGGTTCCTGATACGAAAATAATACTACAGTGGCACAGAGGTCCTCCTCGGACAACCAGGGGCAGTTTGGAGTCACTGCAGCCAGGAACTGCAGCTATGTTACAAATTCCCTTTTTTTCCCAAAGAGTTTTTTTGGGTTTAAAAAAAAAAACCCTGCAGGAACACCAAAGTCCTTCTTAAGTGTAACTAGAGTCTACGTTCGCTCTGAAACAAAACAACTCTGTAGGAGTAAGGGACTGACCAGAGCATAACTGGGCTGCTGCCCGGCGTTTTCTTTCAGAAGTTCCTCAAAGTCATTCTGCTGCCGAACATATTCGTTTCAGACGTTCCCCATAGGCAAGCCGCTCCTCTCCAGACAACGATACAAAAAGATCCGCCCTTCCTCCAACAGAAATGCTCACATAAGGTATCGGCTGTATTTGCCTAAGGAAAATATTGTGGACGCATATACAGTAGTGTGATTTAGGGGTAAACGGTTAGGCACCAGCCGGTTTCAAATCGATGGGGGAGCCCATCTCCCCTCCAGACCACAAGAGGGCGCTGCAAAAGCTGGTCGGCTGATTACTGCAGCCTGGGCTATAATGTTAGCCTTGCGGTTGAATGTGGTTTTGGCCTGTAGTGTAGGTGGGATGCACAAGAGCTGCTGCTTTCATAAACAAACCCAACAATCCTGTTTTCAGGTACTTGCTTAGTTTTTTTCTTTAATAGCTTGCAGTCGTACCGGGCAGCGCGGATGTTCTGAAAGGGGTAAGTGCACAGCTTCCTTTTGATTTGAAAACAAACCAGTTTGCCTCAGCCTGCTAGCAGAATGGGACTGAAGCTGGCAACATGGCGACTCAGCTGGGGACCACTAAGGGCCCCCCAGCTCCGACAGACACCTTGAGCCTGAACGGGCCCCGCGCATCACTTCTTGTTTTGTTAATTATCGTTTATTGATTTTTGTTTTCAGGATTCCCTTTTCCCAAACTATTGCTTTTGTCAACAAGCTGGTCAGTGTATATACATATAAAAAACCAAGTCCAGGTCCATCACATGGTACACAGTTCTTATAGAACAAATGTGAACCCAAATGTACAAAAATAGATTATAATAAATAATTCTACAGCATTGAAAATGTGAACAAACTTTAAAAGAGACAAAACTGAATAATAAGATACGTCGATTAATTCAAAATTCACAGATCTTCTGATGTAATAGTTGGCTCCCATATATATTTTTTTCCAAATGCGCTAGGTTGTCCCTTGGCCTCATTCCGATGCTCGATGACGCACTGGGACTTTCGTGGGGTTAGTGAGTGATTCATCACTGCAAGGCATTTGTGGTCCAAATGGATTTGGCAGCATTTGAAAGAGGGGGTGGAAAGAAATATCCTTTACATCCATTTCGAGAAGCGGGACATTGTCTGGAAAACGCTAGAACTATTGGTCTTTAACAGTCAGGGAAAGGGAGACGGCTGAGCCATGTGCTAACCCTTTCTGGGGACTGTAGCTGCCCAAACGCAGTATCAGTGCACAGAGCAGAATTATCAGTGTCCTTCAGTACAAATCAGTCCATTCGTCTTCCTGGGGCTCTGAGTAGTACATGGGTGCACTGAAGCCATTTCCTGTCCCAGTGTCCTTAATGGCTGATTGGTCAAACCTCTCAGTGGCTGTCAGTGTTGGCAGCATCACGCCATCCTCTTCAATGTCAAAGATCACAGAGGGGTCGCATGTCTCACTTGGTATGCCAGGACAGAGACCTGCAATATAACGAGGGCAATGATGATGATGGTTTTCATATGAAAAGGGAAACATCTTATAAGTTAATATACTCTAGTGTTCACAGTGGTTACCGATGCTACTTTGTAGCCCTGGTGGCATTCCTGGGCTGCTGTCTGTGTGGATGTTTGCATGGTCTCCCCCCATATTTGTGTGAGTTTTCTTCCCACAGTCCAAAGACATGCTGGGAGGTTAATTGGCTTCTGGGAAAACTGCCCCTGGTGTGACTGTCTCAGTGTGTATCTACCTAGTCATGGACTGGCGTCCTATCCAGGGTGTGTCCTGCCTTGTACTTGTTGCAGGCACCGGTTCCCCCCATGACCCAGTTTTGGATAAAGTGGTTAGAAAATGGATAGACAGAGCACCTGAAGGAAATTCACGTAAACCTGGGGAGAACATGCAAACTCCATGCAGACAGCACCCCAGGAATGGAACCAAGGGTCTCAGCACTGTAGGGCAGCAATCTCAACCACACAGCCACCATGCAGCCCTCTAGGATAACAAACTTGTCTGCGTGCACCTAGCTGTGGGCGATGGGATCTGTGAGAACTGATCGTTGTCAGTGTCTCTGTCAGTGGCGTCAACACTGACTTCCGCAATGTACTGGAGAGAGATACTGTACATTCCTTCGTTCCACAGATATCAAAATGCAATGGATCTGCCAATCCCGATGCAAAATCAATCAAGAGTCACTCATCAGTCCCTCTGCTTGCTCAGGACTAGAGAGTAATTGATGAACAGGTCAGGAAACCTCTCACCTATCCTAGCTAGTAAGTGAGACCTCCATGCACCAACATCAAAAACCAGAACTGCACAAAGCTGGTATCAGAACCCTTCATGATCACGGCCTTCACCCTTCTTATTCCCAATAAATGCTTAGTAAGTGATCAGTAACTCAAAAGACTGCATAACAGTGTGTTCCTGTGGATCTGACATACTGTGGCTTTTCTTTTCCTGTGCCTTTCAATGTGTTCAGTGTGTAAAATTGCACATGACCAACGAGTATGAAACAACCTAGAACAGACCAACCGCCTGATCAACCCAACAGAGCTCTTTCACTGCAAGATGTGCAATTTCACCCTGAGGGCACTGCGCTGAGGGAGTGGGGACTGTGGTGAAATGTGTAATGACAGTAGTAGTGTTCTAAGATAAAGAGCTTCCTTACACTGGAAACCCACAGTGGGGGACCTGTAGCTCACACGAGTACTAGTAACGGCAACCTCAGTACTGATGAAACTAGAATTCTGTAATGGCAGTAGCCAAGGGGATTTTGGTGTAGTACTAGGGAAGTATTAGGGATGGATAAGCAGGTTACTGGGTAGCAGGGGAACTATGAGAGGTAACTAGGTGGGATGTTCAAGATTATATAGAGGGTATATAAGTAGATAATAGCATGTTGGTAGTACTTTAGGGTGTATTGGGATAGTTGTAAGAGTTTTGAGGGTAGTAGAGGGGGTATTAAGGGCAGATAAGGAGGATACTAAGAGTATAAGGTGTAATAGCAACAACTAAATCAGTTTGCAACTCACAACTGGCCAATAACCTGCTCATTTATCCTTAATACCTGTACTACACCAAAATCCCCCTTGGCTACTGCCAGTAGCAAAGACAAATTTCATTAGTATTGAAGGTCAGCAGGTGTGAACCTGGCCAGTACCTGGATGGGAGACCTCCTGGGAAAAAATAGTCGCTGCTAGAAGTGGTGTTAGTGGGGCCAGTAGGGGGCGCTCATCCTGCAGTCTGTGTGGATCCTAATGCCCCAGTATAGTGATGGGGATGCTATATTGTAAAAAAAAAAAAAGGTCTGACACTTGGTGGTCATCAAAAGTCCCAGAGTGTTTCTCAAAAAGAGCTTACCTCAGTGTGCTAACCAAATTTCCCCCTGGCCTTTACCAATCATGGCCTCCTAATAATCCCCATCTCTGAACTGGCCTCATCACTCTGCTGTCCTCCCCAGTGAGAGCTGGTGTGTGGGGAGAGGACTGACGCACTTTGGTTGCCGTCACATCAAGGATGATGATGATTATGGTTATTATTAATAATAATTGAGGAAAGGAGAGGGGGAATGTTAAGGGTAGCCGAGGTGAGGAGGGTATTATGGGTAATAGCATGTAACTGTGGAGGGTTATGGGAGAGACTGAAGGTTGCGGTTTTTACCTGTAAGTTCAGGTTCGCAGATCAGTGTCTTGGGGCTGTCGGGAGAGAGGACTGGAAGCTTCTGATCGGACAGTGGGATGACAGGAGGGATGATGAGCTTGACTTCGGGGTCCGCAGACTTGGCCACTGAAAAGGACGTATGAGCCAGTGAGAGCAACAGCAGCCAAGGAGGAGGAGAGATAGTGGAGCACGCAGAGTAGACGGAGAGACACACAGGCGGAAAAGGAAGCCAGATGAACAGACACAATTAAAGACGGGCAGTTTAGACCAGACCGGGCGTTCTGTCAAATTGATCCATACAGCAGATCCCAAACCTTGACCTGGAGAAAGGTGTTTTTTGTCCCTCCTGAGGTTTTAATCAATCAATCACAGATTAATAGAAGTTATTTTCCTATTTGGGCTATATCTGTAAATCTACTCTGAGCTCTGAATAGATCAAGGGGGAATTTGTCATTTGTATCAGCCCAATACCCATTTCTGAGTTTTAGATTTACACTCATTGAGGGGTACTGTCTGTAACGTAACCAACTGTAGGAGAAAGACATGGCTCATTATGCTCCTTGTGGATGTGTTGTGTGCAGTGTCACTCTCACTATGGGCGTGTCGGATGTTGTGGCACTCCCATTGTGGGTGTGTCGGATGCAGTAGCACTCCCACCTGTAACTGTTCATCACCGATCGACCATCTAGCACTTTTTGGTATTTTTGGATTGACCAAAGAAAAGTTTAAGTCAGCAAGCAGAACAATGAAGTCGTCAATTAGCACTATAGATGTAGAGCTCAGCTGGGATGAAAACCAGCAGAGACAGTGCTCCTCCAGGACCAGGATTGGGTACGACTGGAATAAAGGGATGTCAGTCGTGAACAGAGGAACCAGTGTGAACCAACAACGTGGAGAGTTACCTAGACAGCCAGACAGACCCACCTGTGAAGATTGTTTGCCGTTTGTTCCTCCAGGAGCGAAAACCCAGGAAGACGAAGAAAACCACAACGAACAAAGTAAATCCAGCCCACAGGCTTGCAGGTAATAGCCAACCACTGCCTGAGACAGTGCAGAGAGGGTTAATACAGGCGATATGACTGACTACAAGAAAAGAGAACATCTGCATTAAGAGATACTAATGAGAACAAGTTCTCCAACAAGAGTCACACCAACTTAAACAATCCAAATGACCTCAGCAAGTAGAGAGAGGAGGTAACAATGAAAAAGGTTTCTTACTGTTGGGGCATTGGTATGGACCACAGATGGAATCTGAAATGTTCGTTCCTGCTGTTTTCAACACTTTCCCCAGAACGGTGCAACTGTTACATAGAATGAGAAGTTAATGTAAATGCTGGAGGTGTGCTGAAGAAAGGTCGATTGAAACAGACAACTGTATGTGAATTTAAGATGGGAATTCTGATCGGTTTATCTTGTTGTATCTCCGGTTTCCAATTGTCAGTCAAATCAACGATAGTTGTGACCCTTGCGCAAGTGTGGGAGAGATGAGGACAGACCACACCCTCCTCTGAATCACGTGCTGGTTAGAGCCATCTCCCCTTTTCCCCAGTGCAAGTCTCGGAGTGCCCACGAGGAAAACGGACTTGACTGGAAGAGCACGGGGTTGGCCACTGGCCTCACAGTCATATAAAGTCCTAGGATCCACTGCTAGATATCAAGCTAGGAATAACCTACTGATTAAATTTCACCCTCACTGTGCAAGTGGTGTTTGACTATTACTTCTTCTGGCTGATCGCACTGCTCACACATGAACTAGTGACATTTGAACCATTGGACCGCACCGGTATTACAAACAAGGTACAGGTCCTTGACTCTTTATCCATTTCAGAACAACAAACCTTAATATATATCCTACACTTAGCAGAGAGAGTTCCATATACTGTAGATCCCAGCATAGACCCCAGAGGCACACCTGACACTAGAGACATGCCTAACAGAGAGAGATCAACGCACAGGGGCCTATATGAGTTTGTAGAGAGAGGCAGACCGGCTGCAGACAGACAGATCCTCACTTGGTGTGCTGAAGGCAGGGGGTGTGTGAGTCAGTCACGTTGTTGTAGGTTCCGGGAGGACAGGAGTCACAGAAGGCATTGTTTCTGGGGGTGGCTACAGTTACCGCCGTGAGAAAATGAAAAGAGGAAGAATAAGAAAAAAGGAGGCTTGCGTCACTAGAGCACATCTTCACTCGCTTTAGTTTTTACTCCTCACAAAAGCAGCAATGGTAATGAGTTCATGCCAAAGCGCTCTCCATCAGCCATGTACATCCTTTTTCCAGTGAAAAGAAGTGCATTCAGATCTGGTGTAGGAGCTCTATTTTACAGTAAACATATTTTATTGACCCAAATAGAAAATGATCTTGTGCCATTCTAATTCCTAAAGAGCCATGATTAAAAATATACAACAGACTGGAGCCCCTCTGAGCAAGTGCTTTCTCAAGTGCAGGAGAACATTCAGTGACGCATGCGGAGAAATAAGCACTGACGTGCTATTGGGGCTGTCAGTGATGTCTAATTCGATGAACATACAACTTGTTCATGATGACTGGAAATGTTTTGTGTTACAAGTATGGTAATGTCATCCAATTATTCAAACATACTGTAGTCTACTTTTTCTTAGCAAGTTTTTGATGTTGCTTTCTGGTCTAGATTATCTGCCATTATTGCTTTGCAAAGAAAAAAAGAATCAGATATCATCTGCGTTGCTGTGGTTAACCCAGGATCAGGGCAGGTCCACACAGTAGGCGAGGAACCGGATAGTTTTCATCTAAATATCTAAGCTACGCAGTTTGTTCAGACATTCCTCTTGACACAATCAAGGAGTCAGATTTTTGTTCCACTGCATCAGTCTATGAAAATAGAGCAACGTAACCTTCATTTTTAAAAATAAAGCCTTTATTTGGGTCAATATGGTAATTCTGTTTTCCATGCTGTCATATGTGCACGTACACTATACGTGCAGATTGTAGTCTCACCTGGTATCCTCGCCCCCTCTCCAGGTTTACAGATCATCCAAGGCAGACAGTGTTCACAGCTGATGTCTTCACAGTAATACCCTGACACACACTCGCACTGCGTGTTTCTGTCTGCTGAACACTTGGATACTGTGATCTGGTGATTGTCTGAGGGAGAGAGAGAGAGAGGAGGGAGGTTTAAATAGATATGGTGTCTGCCTAGAGGTTTGTACAGTAGACACATTCAAGCTGTTCCAACCTGAGTGGGAGGTGAGCCCATAAAAAGAGTGTTGAAGTCGGCAGCCTGGGGTAACAGAGAGGTGTTAAGGAAGGGAGAGGAGGAATTAATGCAGAGTATTTGACCCATTTCAGCTTACTTTACAGTAATGATGAACTGTATGAGAGAACACCAGGAGGATAGTCTAGATCAGGGTTCCACATCGCTTGTGCTGGACGGTGTTTGGTAGATGTCGCCAATTTTATTGTGATCCTATAAAATAGGGGATTCGTGTAATCAAGCAATTTAGAAGTCATTTAATACTAAAATATAAATACTCTTCAGTCCTCAAGGACCAGATTTCTATTAATTGAATAGATTTCTTGCTTGGAATGAGATGACGTGTAAGACGAATCGAATTGAAGCTTTAAGACAGGGTCCAAGACCCCTGGAGTAACTGGACTGGGCCTCTCGTGGACCAGGGTTACAGACCCCTGGAGTCACTGGACTGGGCCTCTCCGGGACCAGGGTTACAGACCCCTG